GGGCCGCCTGGGCCTGGGTCAGACCCCTGCCCACGGGCCCAGCCCCCTCTCCCCCACACACAGGGCCGCCTGGGCCTGGGTCAGACCCCTGCCCATGGGCCCAGCCCCCTCTCCCCCACACACAGGGCCGCCTGGGCCTGGGTCAGCCCTCACACAGGGACAGGGCCCACACATTTGTATACTAGCACAGATGCACAGGGCGGCACCAGGCAGTGGGTGTCCTGCGTGTGGCCCTGAGGAGGTCTGTGCAGCGAGCAGGGGCTGGGGTGGGAGAGCGGCAAGGTGGGAGCCTATGGAGGAGGTCAGGAGCTGTCCCAGGAGTGGGGCTGCCGGGGAGAGGGCCCAGGGCTGCGGGGGACCTGGTCACCCATGGAAACGGCCCTCTACCCCCCAGACAGGGCCCCTGGGATCAGAGATCCCACAGAGGTGAGGGTGGGAATGGGCGAGGTGCCCCGGGCCACGTGCCCACCGGCCAGGCCTAAGCACTGCAGAGCGGCAGTGCCCGCCACCCAGCCCCTCACCGGGCTGCTGCCCCCAGCCCACGGGCTGTCCAGCCAGGGACACAGGCCTCTTTCCAACCTAGAGCTTGGGCTCAGGATGCAGGCTGGGAGGCCCCAGAGGGAAGGCCCTCCCTCTAGTCCTGGAGGAGACATTCACTGCCTGAGGGTATAGCCCGGCCAGGCCTGCACTCCAGAAGGATCCTCCGTGTCCCCAAATCTCAGCCCCGGCACACAAAGCCCTCTCCCTCCCTTTCCTCACAACGCCATCTGTTGCCATAGCGACAAGAGCAGACTGGGCAGGAGCATCCAGCTCCCTGCCCCCACCCTTCTCTTCCCACCCCCTCCCACGGGGCCCTAGCTGTGGCCCCACCATGGCCTCTGAGACGGGGGACGCCAAGTTTCTGCTCCCCACTGGCCCGGCTCTCCGCTGTACCTCGCTGACAGGCCTCAGCACAAAGGTGCACCCCCCCCTCCCAAAGAGCAGGTGGGTGGAGAAGGGGCCCGGGTCCATGGGTGAAGGGGTGAGCGGCTCCTGAGGCACAGCACACCGCTCCTCCCAAACTGCCCCAAGGCCTAGGGGAGGAGACGGGGCTCAGCCTGCACTCTGCCCAGGAGCTTGCTCAGGACATCCCAGCTTCACAGCCGAGCCCGGGGAAGAGGCTCGGGCACCCCGACATGCCGTGCCCGCGCCCCAGGGCTGCAGGTGTGCCCGCCAAGCCCACCCTGCCCACACAGCCTTCATTTCCTCCACCTCCGTCCTCCATCCTGTCGGGCGCAGCGGACCTGCAACAGCTGCACAACTTCCAAAAGTTCCTTCAGACCTCCAGTCAGAACTTACACACATGCGTGAAGCCACCGTCCAGTCAGAACTCACACACACACACACACCACCTTCCAGTCACCCACAGAAGCATCTTTGTGTCCTCACAATTGGGGGGCCATTTTTCTCTGCTGTCTCACGGATGGAATCACACGGTACACACGCCAACAGGCAAGTCTCCAAAGACGTGTCCACTGACTGGACATGACGCAACAGTCACGCTCAAAGGCCACACCTGCCAAGAGGTGCTGAGGAGCCAAGCCTGGCGTTTCCCAGGGCCGGGAGCCCCACAGGGCCACGCCTCCAGCAGGCTCAGGGAACGGCTGCGGGGGCAGGCGGGGCTCCCCACCCCTACTACACAGTTGCCTGTGTGCCCTGGCGGCTCCACCACGAACTCTACTCCCTGACGGAGCCTGGTGGGTAGAGGCCAGGTGGAGAGGGCCACAGACAGATGCCCAGGTGAGCACTGGAATATGGCCATGAGTGCCCCCCAGGAGACCCATCCCCACGCCTGCCGAGAAGGGCCTCCCAGGGTAGGAAGGACCTGGGTGCTCACCAGTCTCATGGCCGTGTGAAGACCTGCTTGGTACAAAGTCACCTCCACCCTTCGAGCGCACCTGCTCCAGCCCGACGCAGGCTGCTGGGGTGCGACCTGGGCACAGCGGGGCTCGGGATGGGTGGGCGCAACTCCTCAGGGTGTGGCGTGGGGCCACATCCTCTGTGGAGAAAGGGGTGGGGGCTTGCAAGAGCGTGTCCCCACAGTGGCCAGTGGGCCCTCCGTGGAGACCCCCCCCCGCCCAGGCCGTGGTCTGGTGGTGCCCAGGCCCCCAGGCAGGAGGTAGCAGTTAGGTAGGGTTAGGTAGCAGTGTGAGGAAACAGTGTGTCCACAGGGTGGCCAGTGAGACTCAGATGGGTCCCTGGAGCTGGGTTTACAGCCAAAGGCCTGCCCTGGACCCCTGGCCTCCCTCAAGCCCTGCGATCAGCACACATGGTGGGGGGCGGGGGGGGACAGGGGAGGCTCCATGCTTGCAGTTCAGGCAGGTGGAGCGATGA